AAACCTAGGAGTCATCCAAGTTGTTGGACAAACCCTCCCTCCAAGCTTCCGCTTCATAGGCCCCCACAGCGGTTCAGTTCCCACTGAGGGAACTGCCTCGTTGGAAGACAACCATTTGAAGACCCTGAACCTTGCCAAAACATTATTCTCAGGACTCCAACGCCACGGATCAACCTGACTGTTGCGTCTTGACGATCCTGGATCTTGTCAGAGAGCCATTCTTGGGACGTCAACGCCGCGAATCAACGTAATCGTTGCATCCTCATAATCTCAAATCTCAAATCTCTCCAAAACACAATTTCTGGTACGTTGCGTGGGAATCCGTCAAATTCGGGCGAATTCCAAAAACGAATGTGCCCTCCGGCGCTAAGGCGAGAGCCACATATTGAAACGGAACCGCCCTCAATCCGTGAATCGCTTGCAATTTTGAAACGAATGTGCGCGGCGCTCAGGCGAGCGCCACATGTTGAAAATGATCCGCACTCAATCCGCAAAATTCCTGCACATGTTTGACATGAATGTGGGCGGCGCTGAGGCGAGAGCCACATCTTGAAAACGACCCGCCCTTAATCCGTGAAAGTATTGCACATGTTTGAAACGAATGTGGAGCTGTTGTTACCTTTTAAGCTTAAGGGTCAAGTCTTAGGCGAAACTGCTGGCCCGCCCTGAAAGCAGGCTTCGGGGTGCGACAGGGAGGAGTCATTTTTCCAGGAAGAGGAATGAAAGGAGGAGGAGGAGGAGGAGCAGGAGGAGGAGGAAGAGGAGGAGGAGCCGAAGCAGAAGGAGCAGGAGAAAAGTAAAATAAGAAGAGGAAGGGAGGAGGGATGGAAGAGGAGGGAGGAACAGGAAAAGGACGAGGCCCCTCCCTTGCGGCCTCCGCCCGCGCGCTGCTGCGCCAGATGCTCGGCGGCCTGGGCCGCCGCGGCGACCTGTCTGGCGGCGCACCCGCTCACCACGGGCACTGATCTGGGCCCTCCTCCATCTTTCAGGGGCAGCGATAGGGTTGGTCAGGAGAGGAAAAAACACACAGACACAATTAATCGTCGATTCCCCAGAAAACATGGGAAAATATGGGAAGTGGGGGGGAAGACAGAAACCCAGAGAATATAGTCAAATATGGGGAATCTTTTTCTTTGTGTGTATTTATTTGTGTGTCCCAGGGCCCCTTCAGTTGGGTAGGCGATCGGTGGTTCGAGGCTCGAGGCTCGAGGCCTTCGAGAGCTCTCCGTGGCTCTCTGCCGCTCTCCGGCCTCGGGGCGCCCTCTAGAGAGCAGCCGTGCCTCGTCGAGGGCGCTCCGGGGCCGCCTGGCTCGTCCCGGACGGCCGCCGGCGAGCCGGGCTGTCGTCAAGGGTGGAAAAACCACCCCGACCCCGACAGTTCGCGTTTATTAGACAGCCCTGGGCGTTTACTGAACAGCCCTGCCCTGCTCGATTCCTTCCAGGGGGGCGTTTACTAAACGGCTTCGCTTGTCGGGGTGCTTATTATGGGGGTGGATTCTCTGCTCTCTATGTTGCCCGGGAGCCGCCCGGGGATGGGGCTCTGGGGGGGATGCTTCGACCCCCAAGCGCCCATTAATCTCAGGAGGGAGAAAAGCACAGACACGATTCATGGTCGATTCCCCCGACAATATATGAAACTATGGGAAGTAGGGGGGGATGCTCTTTTTGGGGGGATGCTTCGACACCCCAAGCGCCCACCAAACCACCCCAACCCAACCCGAAGGCCCCACTTTATCCTCGATTTCCAGTGGGGGGGTCGTGGAACATCGAGAAAACACATATGGAACCCGTACCCCCCCCAACACTGAATTCGGGTCTTCGGGTTGGGTTGGGGTGGTCTGGTAGGTAGTCAGACCCCCAAGCGCCCAAGAATCGCCGAGAGGGGGTCGAATGGCCCCACCCCGCCCAGGGGCGTGCGGATTTGCGACGGGGGGCCTGTCGCCGATCTACAGGCGATGTGTCGCCGATTCCAGGCCGATTTCCCCCCCCCCCCCCCTTTTGCCAGTCCCCCCCTGTCGTTGCCCCTCACTTTTGGCCTGCTCAGACGACGACGTTGACGACGACGACGAGATCGGCGAACCTCGACAATGACGATCCACGACGAGGACGACGCTGACGACGCTGACGACCTCCCATCGAAGAGGAAACTGCGTAAGCTTAAGCTTTCGGAGCTCCGCGCGGATCTCTTGGATCCTCGCCTGGAGCCCCCTGGCAGCGCCTCCAGCGCCGCCTCTGTCGCGCTTCGCGCGGACCTCCGAAAGTTTATGTTTTCTGCCGTTTCTTGCTTCTCTCCCTCTCTCTCTGTTCTGATTGACCCCAAAGGGGGTCCAGCTGGTGGTGCAATTCATTTGGTACAGTAGATTTGCGGGGTTGCAATAGATTTGAGGTGTGCGGTACATTCCGGTGTACACATGTATTGCTGGATTTTCGCGTGCAATGCATTAGCTGCAATACAATACAGTACAAGTCCTTGGCGCAGTACATTTGCAATACTATTGCCCCACATGTATTGTACCACCCCCTTTCAGCCTAACCCCCTTTTGGGTCAAGTTCTTTCTCTCTCCATCCAGACCTCTCCTCGTCGAGGCGTTCTCTCAAATTCTTTTCATCTATGCAGATCTTTTCAAATTCGTTCGCTTGCTATCCTCGTCTAGCACGACTGGGGGTAGTTTTATGTGTGCGGCCTCCCGGGGCCTTCGCCTGGCATTGGGAACGCAAAAAGAAACGGGGGGTGATGTGCAACGGGTCCCTTGGTAGGGGGTCAGACCTCTGGGGGTCCATGTGGTCTGAAGATCATGACGGCGGGGGTCTTTTTCTCTCTCTATCTCTCCATCCCTCTCTTTCTCTTTCTGTCTTGTTTCTCTCTCACCCTCTCTTTGTTGTAATTGTTTCATGGCTTTTCTATCCCTCTCTCTCTCTCTCCATCCCGAGGGAGCGGAAGGACAAACGCATGTTAGCCAGCGTGGGCCCCATCCAGTGAGTTATGTAATGGCGGAGATTGGCGATCTGCGGTGTGAGCTTCTGTGGTGCGACCCGTGGAGATGACCGCTATGCGGCGGAAGCTTGGTGGAGTCAGCTGTGCCGTGCAATCTGTTCCACGCGTGGTGGAGGTGAGCGCTGGCTGTGCGGTGCAAGCCGTGTGGTGTAAGCAGTGTCGTGAGCCGCGACGTCGTCCAGGGTGTGTGCTGCAGGCTGCGGGCGGCGCGGGCGGCAACGTGGCGCAGCTTCGGCGTGCCCGCCAAGCGCACAGGGGGCCCACGAGCGCCCACGAGGCGGCACGGGCGGCGCGCGGCGGCGCAACCTCGGCGGACCCAGCTGTCGCACGGGACGCCCACGAGCGCCCGCGAGGCGGCACGGGCGGCGCGCGGCGGCGCAGCCTCGGCGGACCCAGCCGGCGCACGGGATGCCCACGAGGCCCCCACGGGACGAGCGGGCGGCAATGCGGCGCATCTTCGGCAGACCCTCAGTGAACGCGGCGCCCAAGAGCGAATGCGGCGCCCAAGAGCGCCCACGATGCGGCACGGGGTGGTGACGTGGTGACGTGGCTATCCTCGGCGGACCCGTCCAATGAGTTCAGCAACGGGCATGTGAGTCCCGAAGTTCCAGCGGTACCTGGGGCATCACGAGCTGCTACGAGCATTCAATACATTAGCCCGCGTGGTGGACACCAAACCGTGCGTTATTACACTGTGGGTGAAAGCTACGCGGTGTAAGCTACGTAGGGAAGGCCATGTGATGTCAGCTACGGAGGTGGTCCTCCGCGGTGCAAGCTATGTGGTGCACGCTAGGTTGTGCAACCTGGTCTGAGCGATCTGGAGGTGGAAGCTATGCGGCGCAAGCTGTGCGATATAAGCTATGCTCATTCATATGCATATATATATATATATATATATGTATATATATATATGTGTATATATGTATATATAAATATATATGCAGTGTGGGGTGTGTGGTGTCAGCGATGTGGTGCACGCTATACCGTGTCAGCTCGCGGGGCACGGGGCGCCCACGAGGCGTCCTCAGGGCGGCTCCACGGGCCGCAGTGTGGCGCGCAGCCTCGGCATATACCCCCCCCCGGCGCACAGGGCGCCCCTGGGGCACCCGAGAGGCACCCACGAGGCGGACACGCGGCGCAGCCCCCGCATGCCCCACGAGCTCGGGGCGCCCACGAGGCGGCCTCCTCCTCGTCGTCCTCCTCCTCCTCCTCATCCGCCTCCTCCTCCTCGGAGGGAGGAGGAGGAGGAGGCTCCTCTCTCCTCCTCCTCCTCCTCCTCCTCCTCCTCCTCCTCCCCCATTTATGGTGGTGCGTGCAGCAACGTGGCACAGCCTCGGCATCCCCCCCCCTCCCCCGAGCGCGGAGCGCCCCAGAGGCGCCCGTGAGGCGCCCGGGCGGCGACGCGACGAAGACCAGGATAACCAACCGATCGCATGAAGCAAGAGGGGCAACAGCTCTTAAGCGCAAGCAGTGTCTATGGGGCACGATGCGGGTGGTACTCAGGATAATACGCATACCACGAGTATAAATCCCACGAGTGCTGAGCAGAGCACTGTTACGAATGCGATCGCCAGCATGGACGCCATGCGGCGCACTGTTGCATTTTTGGAGGCGAGAGTTATGCGGCGTACGCCATGTCATGAGGGCTATGTCGTGCCAGCCACGTGGAGTGGGTTATGGCCGTGAAGCGTTGCGGTGCAAGCGACGTGATGTAGGCAATGTCGCGTGAGTCAGCGGTGTGATTTCTGAGTGGAAGTACGGTGATTTGTGGGCGGAAGTAATCGAGCGTCGGGTATGTGGTGGAAGCTGGGTGGCGCAATCTCAGCATAACCACCAGGCGCGTGGCGGCGCCCTCGGGGCGCCCACGAGGCGGCACCCGCAGCAGCTCGTCGAACATCCGGAAGACCCAACCAATCACTTCAGACACACGGAGGTTAGATGCGTCCCTCGGTGCAAGCCTTGCATTGAGGAAGACATGCGAACACACTCACGCACGTCAATGTATGCCATCGTGTACCCCAAGCACGCAGTTGTTGCACTCTGGACGTGGAAGACAAGGCTTGCACACTGCGTGGTATATGCTACGTGGGACAATCAGTGTGGTGCGAGATCAGTGGTGGCAGCCATGTGGTGCAGGCTTTGTAGTGCAAGCTACGTGGTGTACGCTATGTCGTGCATGTGTAGGCTATCCAGTGCAAGGTAGGCGATGCCAGCTAGGCGGTGTACGCTGAACAGTGCAAGCTGTGCGCTGCAATCTGTGAGGTGTGAGCCACGGCGTGCAAGCTGTGTGGTGCAAGTCGTGTTGGGCAGGCTGTGTAGTGCAAGCTGTGTGGTTTTTGCTGTGTGGTGTAAGCTGTGTGGTGCAAGCTGCGTGGTGTAGCCTATGTGCTGCAAGCTGTGCGCCCGCCCGGCGCACGGGGCGCCCACGAGGCGCCCACGAGGCATTCGCGAGCGCCCACGGGCCGCCACTGGCCGGCTCCTCGCGACCACGGGGGCAGCAAGCGAAGCCTTCGGTTGGGCTGCCAGACTCCTGAAGGATCGCAAGCCAGAACCGCCAAGTGCAACCACTGTTCGCGGAGCTCTCGGAGGGCCGCGCGGATTTCTTGGACAGTCGCCGCATCTCCTCGGCGGTGCCTCCAGCCCCCCCCCTCCCCCAGGCGTGCTCCGCTCGCCAGGGTGCGCGGCCTTGGCGCCGAAACAAGAAGTCCGCGCGGAGCTCCGAAATTTTCTGTGTGAGGCGTCCACTCAGAGATTCTCGATATATCCACCCCCGAATTTATCCTCGTCCTAGCGTCGTCTTATCGTTTCTTTTCTTCTATTCTCGGGCGGTCAGTACTGCCCGGCGCGGTGGCCCTGGCAAGTGCTGGGTCTACGCTCCCCCTTCTTGGCTACTGAGACATTTAACGAACGCTTGCTGTGTGGCGGCACGGGTGAATGCCTGCACCCTGCCGCGCGTCCTCGCTCCTCCTCCCCCCACCTTCTTTCGTATCGTGAGCTGCGGGCGTTGCGTTTCTGTTCACGCAGGGTGCTGTCGCCCATTGTCGGACCATCTCGGATCGATCCGGCTCGGGAACTGTATCGGAGAGAGTCGGATATAACTCCTGAGAGGTCAAATTCTCATTCTGCCCTGTTCCGAAATCCAGCTTAATCCAGCCTTAATCCCGCTGAATCCGCGGCCGAATCCGGCGTCGTAGCCCCCCAATGGAGCCTAATTCTATGTACTCACTCTTTCCGACGAAGGACCTCCCAGCAGTTGCCTCCTGAGAGAGATGGGGTTTGGGGGTCCGGTCATAATGTTTGCGAGATGACTCTTTTCTTGTGCACCGGATCCAGGGTTCTGGGGCCGGACCTTCGACCGCAGATGCGGGGCCCTGGGGTTCCAAGGGGGCCCTAAGAGGTCCCCCACGAGGTTCAGGTGCATCTCCTGGGAGGTCAAATTCTGACTTCGCCCTGGTCCGAAATCCCGCTCGATCTGGCGCAATCCAGCTTAATCCCGCTTAATCCGGCTTAGTCCCGCTTAATGCGCGTCCGATTCCGGCGTTGCAGCCCCCCCATTGGGGTGTAACCCTCCTAAACCCTTCCGACGAAGACCTCCCAGTAGTTGCCTCCTAAAAGAGGGCCTCAAGAGAGGCCCGAGAAGAGCCAAAGCTAGCGATGGCGATCAAATTGAGCGACGGTGCGGCCCGCAGATGCTCGACCCCGGGAGGTGACAACCTGGCTTGGTCGTTGGTTATCGTACGATTCCGCTGTCGCGCCGTAGACGGGCCAAGCAGGGCCGTCAACCACCACAGGACATCCCAGAGAAGGCCCTGGAGGGCCCCATGGCGGCCCGAGAGAAGAGCGAGACGGCTCGAGAGGGCTCCCGGGCACAGCCCCAAGAAGGGCCAGGGCAGAGGAGCGCGACCGAGCCCTTCACGGGTTGCCGCCCCAGCCGGGGCCCCGATCGCCCTCGCCCTGCAAGGCCCACGAGGGGCCCAAGCCAGGGCCCCGAGACCACCCCCGGAAGGCGAGCGTCTGTAGCAATTCCGGTTGGTTCTCGTAGGTTTTCGGCACGCCGGAGACGGCGGAGGAGAGCTCCTCAACCAGCACGGGACGGCCCACCGACGGCTCCAGAGGGCCCGAAGGTGACCAGAGAGGGGGCCGAAGACGGCCCAGGGAAGCCCCGGGGAGGGGCCCCCGAGGGGCCCGCGGGAGGATGTGCGCGAGCGAGCAGCTCGGGGGTGGCCGCCCTGACCTTCCAGGAGGACTAAAAGATAGCACCAGGACGTCGACGCCTCCTCCTCCTCCTCCTCCTCCTCCTCCTTACTCCTCCTCCTCCTTACTCCTCCTCCTCCTCCTCCTCCTCCTTACTCCTCCTCCTCCTCCTTACTCCTCCTCCTCCTTACTCCTCCTCCTTACTCCTCCTCCTCCTCCTCCTCCTCCTCCTCCTCCTCCTCCTCCTCCTCCTCCTTACTCCTCCTCCTCCTCCTCCTTCTCCTCCTCTCCTCCTCCGCGTCTTCCCTCCTCCTCCTCCTCCTCCTCCTCCTCCTCATTGCTAAAATCTATTCGTGCAGTCGGGCCGAGGTAGAAGGGTCGAGGTCGGCTCGTGGAGGGCACACTGGTGCTCCTTGAGGCCGCCCAGACAGATCGAGGGGCCTGGAGTGCCCTCTTTCTCTTAGCGCTCCGTGGAGGGCTGGGGAGGGAGGGCCCGGATCGCCCCGAGCGGCCCGCGCGGGGCCAGAGGGCGTCTCCTCCCCCGGGGGGCCCCCGGGGGACGCCCCACAGCGGCACAGCACAGCTCGTGCGGTTCGGCGGCGGAGCCCGCCGCGCCCCGGGTGCCCCAGCTCGGCGGCGAGCGAGGGGGGGGAAGGCGAGGAGGGCAGGGGGCCCTCTCAGAAGGCGGCGGGGGCTTCTCGGAAGGCCTCCGGCCTTCGGTCAGTCGGGCGTGTCCCTCTACAGGGGAAGATCCCCAAATGGTCCACAAACATGGTATGGGGACGATTCGTCTTTACTGTTCTTGACAGTCTGGGGATATGTTTGGCTTTTTTGTTCTTCGAAGATCGGCCTGCTGTAGGGGGACAGGCCCGACCTCAGTCTTCGGGGAGGTCTCGGAAAACTCCTCAGGAGGCCAGGGGACCTCCGAGCCTTCTGAGAAGGCCCGCCCCTGCTCACTGCCCCCCCTCGCTCGCCGCCGACCAGAGCCAGATCGACCTGTGAGGGTCCCCGTGCCTGAGACTGGGCGAGAGCGCCAGGTGCGCAAAGGAAGAAAACGGTGCCGTCTTCGCCGACATTGGCGCGGAAGCTGCCCGAATAAGGTCGCGCATAAGCCCTGGTAGCCCTCGTCATCCATCGCGGAAGGTCGCTGTGCAATTATGCGTCAGTCCCGTTTCTCTTCCTCGCCCAGGCGTAAAACAGATTGCAATGCCCGGGTCTCAGTGGTTGTGCAGCTCGCGCGCGCCCCCTCCTCCTTCACCCCTGCTAGGGCGACGGGATCTACACATGTCGACTGCTCACCAGAGACAAAAGTACCACAACCACCAGCTAGGAGGGTGGCTGTCCCACCCTCTCGAGCTGGTGGCACCTCGTTCCGGGCATGCCTCCAGAGAGTGTCCGGAAGGAGGTGCCACCAGCTCGAGGGGAGGGAGTGTCCACCCCCCTGGTGGTATACTGGTAGTGGTACTTTTGTCTCTCCTGAACTGCCCGGGTCTGGCCCATCCTGGGCCGAGGAGCGGTGTGCACGGCTTCCTGGATTGCCCAGGGTCGGGCGGGGCTGGGACAACAAGGACAAATCCTTTCACGAGCGTTCCGGAACGCTCTCAGAGCGTTCCGGGATGCTCTGAGAAGACCGCGACGCCCGAGGAGGAGGAGGAGGAGGAGGAGGAGGAGGAGGAGGAGGAGGAGGCGAGAGGAGGAGCAGGGAGTAGGAGGGAATTCGGAACTCGGAACTTGGAAAACCTCGAAACGACGCCAGAGGGCATCGTTGCCGGGATGTGTGCCTGATGCTGAAGACGCCATGCAGACCGAAGCCGCCCATGTGGAGTGGATTGTGTGTGAGGGAAACAAGGACGAGTTGTGGGCATAAGAAGCCAAGAACGAGGACACTTGACACCCTCGCCTCGATTGCACCCGCGACGGGTGTTAACAAGTGGGGGGGCGCACGCCACAGAAGAGTCGGGCCGGACGAAAGGGGGGGATTGGGGAAAGGGGGGGGTACGAAATTTGCTGCAATGCAGCTGGTTTCGGGCGTCACCGAGGGGCCCATTCCTCGATACATAGCCGCCTCCCGGCGCTGGGAGGCGCCTGGAAAATCAGCGACGTGAGCTGATTCTCAACCCCCCCCTTTGCTATCCCCCCCTTTCGCCCGGCTTGAAAGAGGGACGGAAGGAGGCAGGAATCCCGCTGGCCCTTTGGGGCGTGGGTGGTTTGACGTGTTCGCTCTTCCAACCCCTTTCTCCTCCTTAGGGTAAGGGGTCCTCCCTCCCCCTGACCCCTCGGGGGTGGACAGACCTCCTACCCTGACACGTCGATTAAGGAATTGGCCGTTTTCGCTTCGCGAGAGGGCGTCGCGGCCGTCATTTTTGCGGGTCCAGGTCCGTCGGTTTCGGCCCCAGGTCGTTTTCACTAAGGGGAGGTTTACTAAAGGGAGGTTTGTCCACCGCCAGACCCCTCCCCCTATGGGCCTGGACGGGGGTGGCCGCGTGCCGTTGGAGAGCCCACTACGGCCCACGGTGGCTCCAGTAGGGCCTGAGGGAGCCCAGGAAGGCCTCCAAGAGCGCTGCAGATATCCCAAGGTGGATGGTTCAATATAGTTTCCAGCATGCCTCCGAGAGCCCTCAAGGCCGCCCCAGGACGGCCCCCTGTGCCCTTCGACCTCTCCAGGGAGTCATCCGAGAGGCCCGAATCTTTGAGAACCATTGTTTGCTTCAACGTGTTCTGCTTTCTTCCTGTTCGCTTCCGATGGGCTCTTGAGGTCTCAAGATGGCTCCAAGCTGGCCCAATAGGGCCTTAAGAGGACCCCAGCAGGGGCCCAAGACGGCCTCAGCGGCGCACAAGAGCGCCCCAAGATGGCCCCAAAAGGCGACTGTGGGGGCTCAAGAGCGAGGGGGGGCTCTGTTAAGGACCTCCCCCTTCCTTGACCGACGGCTTCCAAAAGGGCCCCAGGAGGGCCCCCAAGGCCCCCCAGAGGGGCCCAAGAGACCCCAAGAGGGTCCCAAGAGGGCCCCAGGAGAGCCCCGAGAGGACCCCAAGGGGCGTCCACGAATGCCCTAAGAGGGCCCAACGATGGCCCCAAGGGGCTGCCAGTAGGCACCCAGAGCGTAAGACATGCAAAGACCTCGATGATTGATTTGTGTCGTTGTCGTGTTCTCCTTCCTCTCCCATCCTGTCTCTTCCTGCTCCTCGTCCTCCTCCTCCTCCCCCTTTCTTCGTTTCCTTCCTCTTGTCCTCCTTCCCCGCTCCTGTGCGTTTTCCGTTTCTTCTTGCGTTCTCCTCACCTTTCTAACGTAACGGTTCTCTCTCTCTCTCTTGTTTGTTGCGTTGCGTGCTGCTACACTTCCCTGATTCATGAAGCTTGCCTGGGCATCGTGTCTGCAACTGCCACTTCCTGCCTGCTCCTGCCCCCTCGTATTCCTCCTGCCTCCTCCCTCCTACTCTTTCTACCTCTTCCGACCTCTTCCTGCACCGTTGCTTGCCATGGCGCACGGCGCACTGGTTATTCGCGCAAATCACCGGTACGCCTGTTGCCCCCTCCTGGTTCCTCGGTACTCTTTCCTACGTCCCTCAAGCTCCTCTCCTTCCGTTCGACCTCGTCATGCTATTGCGCGTTTCCTTTTCCTCCTGCACACCTCCCTCCTTCTCTTTGTCTTTTTGCTCAGGTTCTTCGTCATCCTCTTCTTCTCTCAGTCTGCTTCCTCCTCCTTCTACGAATCCGCGAAGATGGATGCGGCTCAATACTGCGCTGCATGCTGCTATTACGCATCCATGATCAGGACAACTCGCCTGGTGATTGGTTTTGGATTGCTGATGGGGGTACGCGAGGCGTCTAGGATTCACCAGGCGCCCGGGTGTTTTTTTGTTGGCGGTTGGGCGTTTCCGTTGAGGTTTCGTGAGCTAGCATGGTTCAAAAGAACAGGCGGCGTATTGGCAGGCATTCCCATTCCTGGACATCTGTCCAGACTCACAGTGACCTTCTTTCGTATTGCCTTTCCTTCGTGATCTCCAGTTGGCTGCTTTACTTCTGTGGCCCCTGGCTCAGCTCCATCAGACGGCTCGCATTCCGCTGCCCTTGCTAAATGTACAATTGTCCGCGCCGCAATACATGCGAACTTTCCTGTTCGCTGCTGATTTTTTGGTGTGCTCTCCCGTGGAAGTGCAAGCGAAACGCGGGCGCTAGTTTTGTGGGATTCCATGGGCTGTTTTTCCCTGCTGGCGTCCGCGGTTGATTTTGCGCGCCTTCTCTTCTTACTGAAGAGCACATTCAGTGCGATGTGGCGTTGCTCGGCACGGGGCCACGAAAGTAAGCACGGGAGAGGAAACTTTTCCATGCATCCCTTCCTACCCTCGGGCGGAACCAACAGGGAGTGGGGCTCAGCGCAGGTCCAAGAACGCCGCGCGGAGCGCCAAGCGTTGAATGCTGTTTTCTTATTTCGGGGCTGGACAGAACCCCCAACAGTGACACGTCGATTAGTGACTTGTCCGTTTTCGGTTCTCGAGAGGGCGCCGTTGCCGTCGTTTTCCAGGCCTGCGCCCGCCAGGTTGGGGCCTCAGGTCGTTTTCACTAAGCCACGTTTTGCTGAAGGGGGGTCTGTCCATCCCCGATCATTCTAGATGCTGCGCGATCTGGAGCCCGAGTGCCTCCGGCCTGGAGCTGCCGACGCACCGCCGATGCATCGGCGATGCGGCGCGGCCCTCCGATGCCATTCGTGCCGACCCCGCCAAGGGCGCCTCGAGTAGTTGCCCCCCTCCCGCCACCTCCCCTCCTGTCCCTTACCGTTTCGGACTCTCCTCCTCCTCTGCATCCCCGCGCGAGGGCAAGCCGCATCCGTGGCCCGGGCCAGCTTCCTGTGAAGACAGGCCCCCCCCGCATGCAGGCCGAGAGGACCTCCTCGCAGGACGGAGACAAGCAAACCACGTGACGGAGGATCGCAAGTGCTTTCCGCCCACAACATTTGATTTCCCAGCAACAGATCAAGCCGTTCAGGAAAGGGTGGGAACTCGCGGATACACCCCTAGGGGGATATTCGGACGCGCCATCATCCAGGATGGGCACCCCGTATCGTCAGAGTGACGAGGTCGAGCGGTCATTCGCCGTCCCTGGGTGCGCGGTTGAGGTGGTTGTTTTCGGTGCGGACTTGTGTTGCGTTGTTGTAATTTTTGTTGATCACTCACTACTGAACAATAATTATTGTTGATCCCCCCCTCCGAGGCCCGCACCCTGTCTTTTCAGTCGAGGTGCCCCTCTCGGGGCCCGCACCCTGTTCTTATCAGGGAAAGGTCTCCTCAAACTGCGCTTCCGGCCCCAGAGCCATATACAAGAGCATCGGCTCCCGCCTGATATTTCCTCAAACTTGATTCGCACATTGCGCTATTGCGCGGGCAATGTATTCAAACGCCGCGCCATCGACACTCAGGAATCACGCTCTCGCTGTGGATTCCCTTGCGAGTTATTTGGGAACGCGCTATCGCTCGAGACTCCCTGGCGACTCATGCAGGACGCAGCCTTCAACAATCCGCCTGCTCGACCTGGCCGCCTGGGCCCGCCTTGCCGACCCGTCTATTAGGGTCTATTCGCCCGATCTGCCCGTCTGGTTTTGTCACGTGTTTTCTGTTCCGAGCCCCCCCTCCTGGTATTATCTTTCTTGTTCCATCCTCCTCATTCCCCCTTGTCCCTTCCTTCTTTCCGTCCTCTCTCCTCAGGGGCTGCTCGAAATACACGTTGCAGGTAAGAATGATCTGTACCACCAGTGGGTTGCGATCGAAGAAGAAGGGGGCGGTCATCGAGGGTTGGGAATATTCATGTTGAATGTCATGCGAGAAGATAACAAAGAACAGTCTTAACATGATTGGTGCTGTTGTTGGTGTTGTTGCCGCTGTCATGGTTTTTGTGTTGTCGTTGCTGATGCTGCTGGTGTTGTTGTTGGTGGTGTTGGTGTTGTTGTTTTTGTTGATGTTGATGATGTTGTCGCTGCTGCTGTTGGTATTGTAGTAGTATTTGAAGCCCCACTTCGAAAAGACTATTCAGTGTTGATCACCCTGCCCCGTGACCTTTGTGTGTTTCAATGCAAGTGCTCTTCCTGGGGCTCGCACCTTCTTTTCACATATTCAAGTGTGGGGTCACCAAACTGGGCTGGTGGGCCCCGAACTCCAACAACAAGAGCAATAGCAAAGGCAGCCGCCGCAACAACAGCAACGACAACAACAACAATCAGTTTAGGACTGTTCGCCCTTACTTGCCCGCGTGTCTGACGTGTCTTTCACTTTGTATACCCCAGCCCTCGATACCCGCCCACTTCGTGTTTGATCGCACGTCTCTGGCCAAGGCCTCCAGGAGTAAGTCGTGAGGGAGCATCGAGCGGGAAACCCTGTCATCGTGGCTGGGCCTCCATCAACTCCCTTGAAGTACGAGGAAGTCTCCAGCGAAGGCGGCGTTCACGAGTTCGTGGCCCTCTGTGGCCAGGGCCTCTTGGAACAAACCGTGAAGAAGCATCGAGCTGGAGCCTTTGTCGTCGTAGTTGGACCTCCACCAGCTTGATTGACATACAAATAAGTCTCGAGCCAAGGCCTCTCGGCGTAAAGTCGTGAGGATGCATCGGGCGGGAGACCTTGTGGTCGTAGTTGGGCTCCACCAGCTTGACAATGGAGTCTCGAGCGAGAGCGCTGTTCCTGACTATACACTGCTCCCTGGCCAGGCCCATCCTGAACACAGCAGCGGTGTGAACGCCACGCCCTCCTGGCTTGGCCAGGAGGAGGGTTTTCTCGCAGCTTCTGGGCCCAGGAAGGGCGGGGCCAGAGGGCAGTGGATATGATCTTGTCGTCCTACAGACAAGTTTCCCAAGGGCACTCTTGCATCCTTGCCTCCTCGGTCCATCCTTGGCCACTTTCGTTGGCCGCCCCGTCGTCCTTTTCGTCTTCCTCGGCCTCCTCGTCCTCCCCGTCCTCCTCGTCTTCTCCGTCCTCCCCCTCGCCCACTTTCCTCTTCTCCTTATCCTCGTCCTCGTCCTCCTCGCCCTCCCCGTTCTCGTCCTCCTCGTCCTCCTCGTCCTCCTCGTTCTCGTCGTCCTCCTCGTCCTCTCGTGCTCCCCGCTCTCGTCCTCCTCGTTCTCCTCGTCCTTCCCGTCGTCCTCGTCCTCCTCGTCCTCCCTGTCGTCCTCCTCGTCCTCCCCCCCCTCCTCTTCGTCCTTCCTCTCGTCCACTCCGCCCCTCCGCTTTTGCGCGCCTTGTACTGCCGCAGCCCGCCCGCTTCCGGGTCCGGCGTCTGACACGCCGTCTGGGCGGGCCGGCCTTGCCATGCTGTGTTCGCCGCCGCGAGGGAAGGGGGCCTAAGAGAGTCAGCGTTGAGCCGGGCACGTCCCTCTACAGGAGGGATGTGCAAAAACAGGCAACCAACAGAAGTCGGGGGACGATGTTTCGACTATGCTTGACCGTGCTTGAGCATTCTTATGCCTATGTTTCTATTTCTCCTCCAAACTCCGCCTGCAGGAAGACATGCCCGACCCAAAATCAGTATCGAATAAACAAGCCCCTATCCCCATCCAGACCCGCATACTCCCGTCGCAGCCCGAAGGTATCGGCCTATGTTCCCATCTTGGGGGGTACCCCTGCCAGTGATTGATGCCCAGGGGATAGGGGTCGGGCAAACGATGCTCATCAGGTCTGGGCGCTGCGTTTTTGTCCACACCGCGCGTTGACACCTGGACACTCACAGATCGATCCGACCCGGAAACTACCCCAGGAAAAGTGGTTTGGGATCGGGTCGTGATTTTTCGAGGTGCTGTTTTTCCTATCCGCGCCGTCGGATCTCAGGGGAG